GTTTCGTAATTTGGTCGAGCATTTATCGAATCAATCTATAGGTCCTGGTATAAACAATAAATACGATAAATATTCTACACCATCGGTTTTTTAATTTATATTAACCAGGAAGATATTTAGACACCCTTTTTGGGAAACAGAAAATAGAGAAATTGATAGTAAAATAGTATATATGTCGGAGAAACAGAATCTTGAACCACTTCTCTAGGGCGGTTAACATTTGGTCCTCTCGGGCGACCAAGCCTTTGTCTTGTTATCATATGCATATCTTTTTTAAACTTCGAACTAAATAAACTTTCACAAATAATAAACTCAAACACTTAAACGGAACGAAAGAAAGGATGCTCAACGTAAAACTAATGAGTCCTTTGCAAGGATTTCTATTTTGATTTACTCGCACAATCTTTCTGTCTGATCACCCTTTTTCAATTCTTTTCTCTTTCAAAAGTTTCGGTAACCAGACAACCAACTCGGCTACCTTCAAAGGCCACATTCAAACGTCAACGCCAACCAGACGTACGTTTGCGTTTCCGATGACATTCTTTGCATCGATTAAATTTAAGAATCGATAAGGGGCAATATAACTTTATTATCACAAACTGAAGTAACATTCAATTAGAACAACAACAACTGTTTAATGGATTCCGACATATATATATTCTTCTTTAGAAATTTAAACTCAAATAGATATTGTAGAATGTACTACTACAGGTGTAGCTTTTATCAAACAACATACAAAATGCATAAAATAGTATATTGTTATTAATTTTGCGTACTACAAAATAAGTGTGAAACAAATATAAATAGTCTTATACAGGGTGTTCGACACCACCTGAGAAAAATTTTAATGGAGGATTCTACAGGACAAAACAAGACGAAAATCAAGAATACTAATTTTTTAATTAAGGCTTTGTTAAAAAGTTATTAACGTTTAAAGTTCCGCTCGAACTGAATTTTTTTCACGAAAATGCGCAGGAATTCGGGGATATGTCTATTCACCAAAAATGACTATAATTGACCCCTGCAATTGAAAATATTTTTTCCTGAACGATTCGAAATTTTTGAATTTTTTCGAAAAATTTCACACCTTCTCGAATTTTTTTCTAGAAAGCGGTTAGGATTTCGGGGGTATGTCTAATGACCGAAAATGAATGTAATTGACCCCTGCAATTGAAAATATTTTTTCCATAACGATTCGAAATTTTTGAATTTTGTCGAAAAATTTCACACCTTCTCGAATTTTTTTCTCGAAAATGGTTAGGATTTTGGGGGTATGTTTATTCACCAAAAATGAATGTAATTGACCCCTGCAACCGAAAATAATTTCTCCAGAATGATTTGAAACCTTTCATTTTCCCTGAAAAATTTCGACATTTTCTGTATTTTTTTCTCGAAAGTGCGTAGGAATTCGGCGATATGTCTATTCAACAAAAATGATTATAATTGACCCCTGCAATTGAAAATATTTTTTCCAGAACGATTGGAAATTTTTGAATTTTGTCGAAAAATTTCACACCTTCTCGAATTTTTTTCTAGAAAATGGGTAGGATTTCGAGGGTATGTCTAATGACCAAAAATGATTATAATTGACCCCTGCAATCGAAAATAATTTTTCCAGAACGATTTGAAATTTTTAAATTTAATAGTTAATAACTTTTTAACGACGCCTCCATCAACAAATTGGTATTCTTGATTTTCGTCTTATTTTGGCCTCTGGACATTGACAAATACTTTTTCTAAGAAATATTCTTCGCCGTAAAATGAACATAATTAAAATAAAAAGACATTATATAATTGCACATACCGTGTGGCTAATAAATAGTATGGAAGAGTTAAAAGCAAATGTATGATAAGTTACTCTTTGTCGATTGCACCATAAAATAAGATTATTTTGATTTACACTTTGCATTTATTTTTCAAGACCTTCACCATAGACCGAAACGTCAATAAATAAATTTAAAGAAACTAAAATATGTTTCGACATTCCCGCTGTTTCGCTACTCATGGCTTTTGAAGCTAATTCAGCGAGATGCAATTACTGGCAAATGAAGTCCGCTTGCTCTAGAATCATACAAACAGGATAACCAGCGAATCGCTGCACACTTTTTCGCGGGTCACTGAGTAACCTCGATCCACCGTTAACAGTTACAGCCTTTCTACAAGCAGACTAAAAACAGTAAAAGCTTATGGGTTTTTTTTCGATCGGTTTGATTTTAGTGAACACGGTCATGCACGAGTACCTGTACTCTCATTACAGAGAGGATCCTAATAAAATATCCCTCGAAATCACCTTTGTTAATCATAATTAACTATCATAAAAGCTCTAACATGCTGCAGGAATTATTATTTATTTTAATTATATTTCTGACTAAAAATAAACGTTTGCAATGTTCTATCATTTATCTACAGTTCTAGTGTCATATTTTAGTTAGAGTCTTACTTTGAAATAATAAATCCAAAGTATTAAGCAATATTTAATTAAAAATTATATTTAATTATTGATAATTTTCACTGGATATATGAAAATTTTTCTATTATTAAATAGGATTTTTAAGCCATAACAGACTATTTCATAAGAATTTCATTGCATATCATTTCAAGATATTGTTATAGTCAATTTACAATATTTAATTAAAAATTATATTTAATTATTGATAATTTTCACTGGATATATGAAAATTTTTCTATTATTAAATAGGATTTTTAAGCCATATCAGACTATTTCATAAGAATTTCATTGCATATCATTTCAAGATATTGTTACAGTCAATTTACAATATTTAAATATTCTCGGTTTGTTTGAAATTTTGATAGAAAAAATGACATAATTGTTATATAATCAGAGGAAGAAACGTCCCAAGTAATGTTTCGAAGCATTGCACAAACGGAAATGCTGATTGTAAATGAAACGTGATTGAAAGAGTTTTTGAATGTCGTGTGCAGTGAGTCGTGTTGTGAAATAAAGTATGTAAAATATGCACAAATGTCTTTTAACGAGCTAGTACAAGGTTGTACGTATCGTGTGCAAAGGGGAAAGTTTTCCTTGGAAGTAACGTGCAAATAAGTATACTTATTTATGTGGACGTGTGTTAAACACGACACAGCACAGTCTATGAACAACTGTTGTCTTAATAATCGTACGTCTATTATCTCATACAGAGTGGCAAATCAAAAACGGAATACGTGCATATCGCGTTTGTTATTTTATTTTATCGAAGCTTAACAAATAATTTGCTTTGTTGTAAAAATTGCAACAAGTGCAAACAGCATTTTTCAGTAGTCCAAAATAAATTTGATAGTAGTCAAATAGTCCACTATTTGCAGTGGACACATATGTTCCTTTCTATGCACAACTAAACTTATTTCATAACTGGAGATCAGCAACATAGACATATATTTTAATGTAATATTGCTTGATTATCATTCTACTAATATTGAATATTCAATCATAATTTTATAATGGAAATAATCACAAGTAAAGAAATTTTTATATTATAAGAATTATTGTATAATTAATATTCATGCTTTAGCATCTTCACGATCATATATTAACGAAAATATTTAATATAGCATGCCCCGACTCGGCTTCGCCTGACCGTGTGCAAAACCAATTTATAATCAAACGGTCGTCTTGACATATGTATCCGCAATAATGCAATTCCCTCGCGAGAAAGCGCTCGAGAAGCTTCGCCACCTGGCGGTAACATCGAAGTACTGCTACGGGCGAAGTATCGCGCGGGCCGAATATGCGCATGCGCGCGCAAGTAGACTGTCGTATACAGGGGTCACGTGGTCTGCCAAACAGTCGTACACATGAAATCTTTGCATATAAATTACATGTTAATAACGCGCTTCTGAGACATGCTACATAGCCTATGTCTGTCCTAGAGTATGCAGGAATAACGTGTCGAAATTTGAGGAAGATCGGTTCAATAGGTCTTGAGTTTTGCGCGAACATAAAAATCGGCTCTCTCTTTATACAGGGTGTTCGGCCACCTCTAGCAAAAATTTTAATGAGCGATAGTAGAGGCCAAAATAAGACAAAAATCAAAAATACTAATTTGTTGGTGGAAGCTTCGTTAAAAAGTTATTAACGTTTAAAGTGCCGCCCTTACTGAATTTTTTTCTCGAAAATGCGCAAGATTTCGGGGGTATGTCTATTCACCAAAAATGACTGTAATTGAACCCTACAACCGAAAATAATTTTTCCACAACGATTTGCAATTTTTTAATTTTCTCGAATAATTTCACACCTTCTCTATTTTTTTTCTCGAAAGTGGGCAGGATTTCGTGGGTATGTCTAATGACAAAAACTGATTGTAATTGACCCCCGCGACCGAAAATAATTTTTCCACAACGATTTGCAATTTTTTTTCTCCGTTGAAAAATTTAGGCACCTAATTGGATTTTCAGTAAGGAATTTTTTTCTCGAAAGTGCGTACGATTTCGGAGGTATGTGTAATGATAAAAAACGATTGTAATTGATCCCCGCAACCGAAAATAATTTTTTTAAAACGATTTGAAAAATTTTTTTTCGCCGAAAAATTTCAGCAACTACTCGATTTTTTTTCTCGAAAGTAGATAGGATTTCGGAGGTATGTGTACTCACCAAAAATGATTGTAGTTTACCCCCGCAACCGAAAATAATTTTTCCAGAACGATTTGAAATTTTTGAATTTAATTGTTAATAACTTTTTAACGAAGCTTCCATCAACAAATTAGTATTCTTGATTTTCGTCTTATTTTGGCCTCTACTATCGCTCATTAAAATTTTTGCTAGAGGTGGCCGAACACCCTGTATAATAGTATAGATAGATATTTTGAATTATAAATATTAGCATGGAAAATTATTTACCACACTGTGAAACATTTATTTATGATATTAAAAATAAGTAGAATAGAAGAAGATCCTAGCCTGAACTAAACAAAATATAACAGTGGGTGTTACTAGTCACAAAAATATTAAATATAGATACAACAAAAAGTGGTATGCGACTCACCGATCGTAGAAAGCAGAAGAAGTTATGAACGAAGTCATTTGGAGAAGTTCTCTGGATCCATGAGATGTCAGGATGCTGTAAAAAAAAAATACGAAAAATATGACACACATAAATATTTGTATGAAAAATTATTTACCACACTATGTAACATTTATTTACGATATTTAAAAAACGCAGAGTACAAGAAGACCTTAGTCTGAACTAAACAAAAATTTTGAGAGATAATGTCCCTTTTATATCATTAAATATTTAAGACATGATCGATCTCAATTTAATACACTTTTGACGTCAGATTGTCGGTTGCATGATCGCAAATTAAATTCGTTCGTCGTTTAATGGCAATCACGGAAGCGATTCGTCGTTGCGAAAACTTTACTGTCCAAATTATTACTAACGCGATCACGTCAGCCATTGCAATTTGTAGGGTAAGGAATGCGTTAATTGCGTATGATAGAAAGTCACGGTTAATCGAGTACCTCTTCGACAAACGTTTCTCTAAAAGAAATCTGCACAGTGTCTGACGTGCATTATTCTCAATTCGTAAAAGACAAAATTTTATGAAAGTAAAAATTAAAGATAAATTTACAGAGTTACTGGTTTGCAACAATTATCATTATCAAACTTCTTCAATCAAAATAGTTTGTATTATACTTGAGTTATATTAAATAATTAAACAAATACTTTCACATTTTTTCTTTTTAAATTATAAAATTTTTTTTTCCTTAGTTTTATAATTGCATCGTTTAAGACTAAACAGTTATGGTCGAAAGCTTTAATAAATATTGTCGTTGTTACAAATTTTTAATTCAACGTTTTTTAATGTAAATCTTGGCTATAAATTTCGGTTCAATAACAGTCATATTACATTTATAAAATAATTCTCGTCGCGTGCAATTAGTCGTTGCATATACAATCTGATTGTTCTACCCAGAGAATAACAAACTTTAATGGCGTGTATGCTATTTTCATTTGCTAATTGTAAACTATTGTATTGCAAACGAGAATCAGTTGTCAACATCCACAAATCATTCGGTCAAAGAAGATATGTATATTGAAACATGTTGAACAATAATTACAAAGATGGTAACACTTTGAAGCATAATTATCAATTTTTTATCATTTTTACAGGCTATAAAAATTTAATTTTAGTGATGTAGGCTAAATTTTGTGTCAATCAATATCAAATGAATGTTGAGATATTATGCAAATAATATAGTTCTAAAAGAAAAACGTGTTCAAAGTTTTTTATTATTTTTATGGATAAAGAAAAAGGAATTTGGGCATTGGATTACGCGCATATATTTTTCACATAATATTCATCGAGGAAATGTAACAAAAAATCAATTTTTTCAGAGGCTTACGGTATAAGAATTTCATTGTATTCAATTTTAAATCATTGCTACAGTTAATTTTTACTATCCAATTAAAAATTAAATACAATTGATTTTTTTCTTATTATTAAATAATTTTTTTCTATACCATAAGATGTATAATATATCTCGTTAAATTAACTTAACAATCTCATCGATTCGATCGAGTAGAATAACGATTTTTCGAATCACAGCGGACATAACCTGTGCGAGGTTTTACTTTCGCGTGGTAAACGATGGCTGCGTTTGTTTGCCGGAAACACGTCACAAAATGGAGGACGAAGGGAGGTCCCGGGCGCCGTTAAAAATGTTTCCTTGGTCGAGGCACGAGTCGCCAGTTTCCTTCTGATTGTCTCGTATCGTAAAACGAACGACTAGATCGCCTTGGCCGGGTAGGAAAACAGTCTGATCTCATCTTGTAAATATGAACGTTCCTCTCTTGTTACCTCTCGACCGGTGGCTCGCACGAAATGCCGAAGATTCTATGGAAATGGCACGACTCTTCCTCGGAATACTTCGAGCGCGACGATCGATTCCCCGCTTTCCATTTTACACACTAAATCCCAATATTCACTTTCGTAAAATGGGTAAAAAAAAGCAATGAAAGAAGCTTCAAAAATACATACGCTCTATTCCACCATTTCTCGAAATTGTAGCCATTTTTTGTAATTATAGTATTATAGTATAGTATAGTAATTTATAGTAATGGGGTTTTTTAACTATAGTCATTTAACAAGAATTTTATAATAACAGGTTTAATGATTTGCAAAGCATTACTGTCATTTTTGAAGGCGTAAAAGTGACCTTGATTTCGTACGAAAACAGAATTTAAATGTAACAGTCATTAAAGTAATGTAACATTATGTGTAGCAATTGAAATGTTGTTCAGAGAGATGTTTTCGAGATTTCACCGGGAAATTATTTGGTCGTTGACCTAACAGAGGTGAAATAGATACTTACATGTGTGTCACTGAGCGTCAGCGGAAGAATTATGTCACGCCTTCGTATTGAGAAATAAATCCGACGATTTCACGATGAAACGATTAATCAATACTTTCTAATCGGGATAAAATGAAATATGTACGGAACGAACCTAATCTCCCCGGTCATTTACACACTAACGAAACATATCGAGTGTAATGCAAGTCGCGATTAAACAAGCAACATTGACCTCCAGTCATTTTCTTCGAACATTTTCATAACACGAAAATAAAAATAAAAATTACTATGGACATAACAGAGACACAAGATGGCGTGAAATTAGATTCGAATTAAACATTTTTACGCGAACGGCAATAATTTCGATACTTTTTAAAAGACAACAAAGTTAGAAAGTTACAGACAATAATACTCATTAGTATTTTTATCATTAGTAATTTTAGTTCTAAAAAATCTACACAAAAATATAAGAAATACTTAAAGATACGAATTATTATATTTAGGGGTTAAGATAATTCTCTGCAAAGCCCCCCATTTCCATCCACAGATCGAAAATATAGGTTAGTAAATTTGTCACTTCTGGCGTCGAAAGAAAAACATTTTTTTAGCAATCAAAAATCAGGTGGTCGTGAAATGTATCGATGAAAATGTTTTAGAAATCTGTATCGATTACAATGCTTCCTTTGCGTTACGAAGAAGTTAATTGAAACTGGCTACCATAACCTCTCTTTACGAGTCGGGGAACGAGCATCAAAATTGCTAACGAGATCAGAAAAGAACGAACGGAACATTTTCTGAAGAAGCACTGGAGGCTATGGTAATTCTTGTATAATACGTGGTTCTAACGGACTTCGACACCCACTTTGTTCCTTCCTACACGCGGATCGAGCCTCTGAAAAGAGTCATCGATCTTCCTCCATAAATACGGCGGATGCTTTTGCTGGAAGAAACGTCTCAAGATGCAGGAGAAATGCTCGCGAACTAACGTTTCAGCGATACCTTAAGGACTAGACGACATTCTTTCGCTTTATCGACCATGACAGACTCGATCCACGGATGATTACACGTTCCATGAATACTACGACCCGATCGTCGTTTATATTATTTATACTCTGCGTCAAGAACTCTCAAAATATTATAGTTCCTGTTCGATCGAACACTGTACTGAGATAACTACCACTTTGCTACAGTCTACCATTTTACATTACTTTTATGGTGTTTTCGATAAGTGTGGTTCGACCACAAATCGTCGTTCGAGTACCGTTTATCGTCCTACTTGTGAAATGAATTTTACTTTCACGGTGCTTAATTTCCACCTCTTGGAAATATTCTATTTAATAGATTCTAAAGATTTTCTTCGATTGAATTATATGTATAGTACTTCCAATACTGATTGTTAAACTTAAACGGCATAACGGAATGTATCATTGCACATGTAATACGCGACTTAAATCAATATATAAATCTACATAGCTTAAAAATTCCATATAAATTTTGGGGGCATATTCAGCGCCATCTCGCGAGTCCCAAAGCAAAGTGACAACATACGTCTGATTTGAAAACTGAGAATCGCGATTGAAATTCCAATACTGACTATTTAATAATATCTATAAATTTTCTTACATTGATACAATTAGTAGTTCGTTTAGAAAACAGTTGATAAATTAAACTTTGTTTCCCTTACAGAAACGATTGACGGTCGGCAGTATCAGCTAGAACAAAAATACAAACGAAATTTTGTTAAGTACGAGTTTAAGCTGGAACAAATTAACGAACAAAATTAAAAATTCGTAAGACGTTATTTCAGACTTAACGAAAGGAAGAAAACTACAAAAATTTTGTCACCATTTTTTTAAATAATATATGTACAGGTTATGGGAATTATTTGGTATTATAATAATGCAACCGATGGAATCAAACATGTTGAATTTGATCTTATCAGAAAAAATTACGCTGCCCAATTTGAGCATCACACAGAGGTGTGTGTGCTACTTGACGCAATTGGTGGGTGAAACGACGTCACGAAAGAGAAAAAGAAAGAAGTCTTGTAATGCAAAGTGTAACGGGCAGGCAGAACCGCAGAAAAATTCGACCCGATAACCGCGGGAATATCAATGAGCAGGTCGCATTCTACGGTTACAAAGTCGTTGTTGCGACACAGGAGAACGTAATTTGGGTTTCTCGTTCGCGATGTGACTGCTAAAACAAACGATCCGGCTAGGCTGTTTGTTTCGAACACGTTAACCATAATTAATGGTTGCCATTAGTGACTCCCGCGCGGTCGAAAATTCCTGCCGCCGACTTTGTTATTGCGGTCGGTGAAACTCGATTATTATTGGCCACGGCTAAACACACCGAATTGTTCCAGCGAATATGAGGCTGCGCTCTGCGCACTGCGCAATTAATTTCCTACGAATACGATACGCTATACGTCATATTTCGTAGACTTCAATAGCAATTTGTGTTCAAAACAATTTCTGCGGCCCAAGATTGTTAATAACAAGTTTGTAGTCGTTACGATGGATCAATAACGTTCAATTTGTCTCCTAGTTTAATGAAGAATGAATACCATAAAATATATTCATTTCGAGTGTTGAAATCCCAGAGTTAATTGTAAGAGAAGTATTGCAAACACCTAAACAATGTCCACAAACGAAAATAAAATTTATCTGACGGTTTCTATGACATCATGCACCGAATAGACGCGTCTCAATAATTTATGATTGATTTAAAATTGAAATTGGATACGTGGAATGTGTTACATCCCGTAATCCAAGATATTTCGCATATCATCGACATCTCCACCCACGAATAACACTGGTCAACATGCCCTCCTTACAAATACCGTTTGTTTCGAACTGGGTGTATGCATTCTCAAGATTTGTAATACAATGTGACGTGAATTTTAACCTTCATGGTAAATGAGGTTATGTAGAGCTAACTTACCCACCATACTCGCCCGATGTTGCACCATTGGATCTCAATCTAATTCAGATCGTCACATTTTCTAAGTGGCAAAAAATTTGAAAATTTGGACGATGCCCAAAACGTCATTTCCAGATATTTAGCTCGAAAATCGATCGATTTTTATCGATCCGACATTGAAACGTGATCACTCGTAAAACTGTTCTTCGCGAACACTTTTATCGTAACGTAACCCTGTTATGTACACTTCTCCAAACCGCGGAATGCAAACGCAAGTGTAAACAGACTTACCGAGATGGTGTCGTTGCTTTTGTTCCAGACTGACCTCTCCCATATAACAGACACACTTCCTCGCAAAGGACACGCTGATCTCGTTCACGGTCTTCATGTTTGTCAAATAAATACTGTCAACAAACAGAAAAAGATTTCGTTGGCTCCCACAAAATTCGTGGAGCCGATTTACCATGTGCCCGGGAGAAGAAGGCACAGCGTGTTCGCATCCCCACTCTTGCTGCAGCCCGCTGATTGGCTGTCACCGATCTTCGTCACCGTTTTCGACCAATGACTGCAACATGCCTTCTTCTCGTGGACACATGGTACCTGTTCTGTTTTTGTAACTTGTACAATTTATTTTTATAACAGGTTATAACAGTGTCAAAAAATGACAATTAATAAACCTAATGATCTTTCGTATCGATTTTTGTTCGTAATAATACAAATATTTCGGGTAGACTTACCACTTTTTCCACTTGAAGTTGACCCTTTCTGATTTATACGGCGCGATAGATTTCGAACCCGCATCGTTGGTCAGTATTAATATCGGCGCATTTTGTATTTCAGTTTCCTCGAATGATTCCGCTTCTTCGTATACAATGGTTGCTTGGATGTCTTGTTGAAATTCGGCGTGAATTAAAAACAATCTGTACAAAATAATAGAAGAAAATTGAGATAAGAATTATTCTTCATCATAAAATATGTAACTCTTACCTGTGATGTGATTTAGGCTCGTTCGTAATTAATTTTAAACAACTGCCACCCTCGTAGGAGAATTGATCGCAAAATTCGAAGAAATTTATATCCGGTACAGGCAATTTATTATCAATATTTACAATATTTTTATATATTCGAATAACGTATCTTTTTGTTTCGTAAATATATTCCGTCCACTCTTTCGAAGGCTGAGTTTCGTCATCTTTGTGTTTCAGTTCGAGGGAACTTATAAACTTCAAATGTGGCGTAGGCACAGAAATCTGAGGCTTTTGCATGGCTAAATTGTAAAATGATTTCTTTTCGAATATAGGTCTTCCTCGTACAACGTGCATCTCCAATTCTACCTGTAGAACATGTATATTTAAATTGTGTGACTGTTCAATGAATGCATTTAGTGTAATGTTAGAAAATACTTCAATTTACTTCACCAGAGCGGTATTGGCAACTACCATTTCCGTGGCAGAAAGACGTTTTGAATACTTCACTGTCATAAATAGGTACGTGAACATACAAATAGGGGAAAAGTTGAGCCCAAAATAAGTCTTCTAATGCATGGAATGTTTTTGGCCCAAAAAATTCGTGAGTCCAACCTGATGCAAAAATACCAACAGATAATCCTTCTTGTCGTATCTTTTCTAAAGCCTGTGGTTCACAATGTTATAGATAAATATTAAATTGTTTTTATTTGAAAAAAAAATTCAGAATCATGTTATAATTACGTATGTTGAGTTGAATCCACCGCCACCAGGACAACCTCTACCCCAAACGTCCAACCCCACATAAATATCGCGTACATCTCGATTGTGGTCTTTCGCAAGCATGTAACTGTTTGCAAGCTTCGACTGGGTCCAATTGTAATTCAAATAAATACCATCGCAACTTAAAAAGAAGTCTCTGAAATATTGAATATGTAAAATCTGAAAGAACAACTGTAAAAATAGAAACACTGTACTTACACGTTTTTATCATTCAGCTCATTCTGCCAATGCAGTTTTCCTTCTTTGGTTATACTATCATACCAAATAATTTCAGAACCTCTAATTTCTGTGTGAATACGTTCCGTTAGATATTTCATGAAATACAATAAATTATTAACAAAACTGGTTTCAATCACATTCTCAACATTCAATAACCAGCCTTCAAACTTATAAAATTTTGCAACGTGAATTAGGGCATCTGCAAACCTTCTCACTGTCTCCAGAGTTTCAAGTATAGGCTCCCAAATACCTTCTCGTTCTGTAATTACAGTACCAAGAATTTTTACTCCGTGATCGTGTGCTGCGTTAATCCATCCGAAAGGTGGTATAGTTACAAAATAATGGCTAAAATACACAAAAGTATCTATGACACTCCAGTGGTAAAAAAGGTATGAAGTATGGGACTTTGATCCATTTATAAATCTGGAAAAAAGACAAACGTATTAGATATAATACGTATTGTGTACACCAAATATTATAATTTTTATCAATATTACCTGTCTTCTAGGTAACCGCCTTTCATGTCGTGACAGAGTAACGTTCTAGGCAGCTTCTCTTTATCAACTTTTTCTAGATCTCGTTTCGTGGCATCTATTTCATAACCAAGATACACATAATCTGCTAATTCCCGTAATTCTTTAGTAGGTGGCCACAATTTTAAATCGTCTACATTATCATACAATTCTTTCAAATTTTTGAAGGGTCGTGCTTCTGCAACTTCGGTTTCCATCTCTTCGATTTGAACAGTATCGCTGACAACTTTGAACTAGTTTCCAAAGAGTGCATTTATACAAAGCTTTTCCTTTTTGTTTACATCACCGGAAGAATTATGTCAATATAGAATATCTATTACGTCGATAGCTTTTGCAACAAACGGAACTTGCATATCGCTAAACGCATAACTCTTTTGTAATGTTATCTGCCAGCTGCTAGTATAGATAACGTAATAAATATATTTTTCTGCTTATCTCGAATAGAAGAGGATAAGATGGATTGAAGTTATAATGTACGTACTTATCAACAAATGTCTACAAATAACACTCATATGTTCATCGAAATGTGTAATATTCGTATATTTGTCATACACAGACTTGTAAAAACGTATATTTTTCAATACTTTTTTTTAAGAATTGTATCAAAATTTTAAATAAACATTGCCAAACAAATACCGTGGCGTAAATAGACTCAACATTACTTGACTATTCACGTAACCTCATTCTCTAACCTGTTGTCACGTTAGTTTCATTTCTGACTACTAGAGGTATTTACTTGTTCTCTATTCACCTTTCATCGTTTATATCTTAACCCTTAACCCATTTATTTCCCTCTTTATTCTTTCTTTAATCTTGTGTAATACAAAATATAGTCGAAGTTGAAGGAAATTGAAAAATGTATCGAGTCGTAGAAGTTTTGCTTTATCGAGGTTTAAAAATATTTTGATATTAAGTAATTTAGTTTCACGCGTGTAGATATTGGGAACTTGCCAAGTAAAAGTAAATTGTTCATGGTTTTAAAGCATTATGTTCGTTGTAGGTCAGGTTCATTAAAATGTTGGTGTGTATATTTTTCGTGCAGTCTTTTCATTCAGAAACTTGAAGCAGAAATGGGTTAAGTGCATATATCATACATTTCATTCTGAAACTAGGAATATTGAACGCTCAATCAAGAAATTGATATTCTTGGTTTTCGTCTTATTTTGGTCTCTAGAATTTCCCATTAATTTCCGTATTAACCTCTTGTAATGAAATTTACTTAAAAAGTTCTGCTTCGGGGAAAAAGAATATAATCTACGTGTGGTTTGGAGGAAAGATTATAAAGAAGATGGTAAGCAATAAATATGAAGCGGTTAATGTATCGTAAGATCTTCCTTTATTTAGTGTACACAACCCTTTTTAAGAAGATGGGAGATCCCACGGGTACAGGACAGACACAACAGTGTGTGGGATGATTGGAAGACGTACGAGATCGTTATGCAAATGTAGATATTAACGAAAAAACGAACTGCCATGGTGGTCCCGCGGTTACGCCGCTTTCTCCATTTTTGTTTTTTCGTTTTTACATCGGACACATCTCGTATTATAAGTTTGCTAATTCGTAGAGATTTTGTGTTGCTTACGAAACGACAATGCACGGATTGTCTACGGTATTCTTTCAAAAACGACACAATTAAAAAATAGTCTCGATCGCTATTCCACATTCGGAGCAACATTCGTGATCATCCTGCTTCCTAATTCGACTACCGATAAAAGTAATACGAGTTACAGGCCGTGTCGTTACAATCTTATTAGGCGAACCCGTTAACGGAAATACGATTAATATGTCCAGCAATAAATGTAGCCATTGCAACGAGTGAACCACTCGTCGTTCGAAATTCTGCTTGCTTCTAACAACGGCGAACGTTCGCAGAAATTACAGCGATCTTCCAATAGGATTGTATCTTCTCCTAGGTATTGTAAAACTTTTAGACAAAGTTACCTTTTGGATGTATATATCACATTGGATGTTTACCTAACTATGCGTCTAACTATAAACAATTAACTTCTCGTCGTCATAAAAGTATAGTTTACAACCTTCCTCTCTTCTCATACGTGGTTCAGTATCATAATCGGTGCTACCGGAAGTCGCTACCTATTTGTACGCCGGGCTAAATTATTCGTAAAATGAAATGTTTGAAAACAGATAGATCACTGTAATGGTCAAGACAATTATCATTTTAGGTTAAATCAATATTTCCTATCAGAAGACGTATTTATTTTATAAAAAATATGTTGAAAATGTAAAGTAAATCTTTTTTATATGGTGAATTACGAGGGCCTATTAATAACACAATTAATTTTAAGATATACAGTCGCGTCGGTATTTAAGTTGACACTTATCATTTTTATAAAATAGCCGTAAAAGGATACAATAAAAATAAATAAAATACGAAATGTTTACAAAAATAAATTTATTCGTGTCTTAAGCAAATAACGTCACCTTATTAATTATGTTCATTTGAGTAACAATAGCATTAACAAATATTTTCTAATGAACGTCTATCGGAAAGTAAGTTGACAATGGTTATAAAGTAAATTATAATTCTATAAGTAACAGTAAGAAAAATATTTAATAAGCAGTTTGATACCCTTTGGCTTTAATTACTTCCAGTAAACGATTTGGCATGCTGTGTATTAATTTTTTTAACGTTTTGGGCTGTATTTCATCCCATGCTTTTTTTAGTGCGGCTATCAATTTTGGTTTTGTATAGCGGTCCGATTTTGGTATTTTTCGATCGAGTTCGTCCCCATAAGTGCTCGATCGGATTTAAATCAGGGCTCTGCGATGGCCAAGAAAGCAGCAATATATTGTTTTCGTCGATAAATTTTTTAACGATCTTTGCAGTATGTTTCGGATCGTTGTCGTGTTGGAATATGTATCCTGTATCTGGCCCAAATTTTTGAATTGATGGAAACAAATTTTCTTTTAGAATATCGATGTATTTCGCTGCTGTTAATATACCATCAATAACTGTTAATTTTCCTACATTTTCATTGTTGAAGCAGCCCCATAACATTATAGACCCTCCACCGTGTTTCACGGTAGAGGTGATAACATTTTGTTTAAAAGCTTCTCCTTTTTTTCTCCACACATATTTCCTTCGTTTGTTTGATTGTAATTCAAATTTTGACTCGTCACTCCAAATTATGGATTCCCAGAATGCAGTCGGTTTATTAAAATGCTTTTTTGCAAAATTTAAACGTTTGCGAGCATTTGTTTCGGAAATGTGTGGCTTCTTCCTAGATATTCGACCATGCAACCCAGCTTCGTATAAACGGGATTTTATTTGAGTGGTCCCTATTGGCAAATTTAAATCTTCTTTGATCTGTTTGGCAGTAATAAATGTTTCCTTTTTTGTTATTTTAACAATTTCTCGATCCTGACGGGGAGTTGTTTTTCTTTTTCTTCCCGTTCTAACTAAATTTTCAGGTTTCCCAGTAGTCTCTATCTTTTTATAAATTTTTCGCACCCCTTCCTTTGATATCCCAAAATCTGTGGCAATCTGTTGCAAACTTTGGCCTTCTCTCCTTCTTTTATAAATTAATAATCTTTCAGACTCGTGTAATTCCCGTATTTTCGGCATGCTACAAGTAACCAATTCTTAACAATAACAATACATAACAAAAAAAAAAAACATTATATAAGAGACTAAATACATTATCAGATTATTAAATGCGCGTTTAATAGCAAAATTTTATTAATGAAATAAAAACTTGATTACGTCAACTTACTTTCCGGCGAACCAAATTTAGGAAATATTTTTACAGATTGGCTGTTATTTGATTGTACGCGGTGTTTTCGCTTTGACACTCACTGGTATACTGAGGCATTTCTTGTACATAATGTAAACAATGTCAGAATGTACGGAAGGACGCGTACAAGTGTTTAAATTATGGAACAATATCGTCAATAACAGAAATACAACAGCGTCAACATAAATACCGACGCGACTGTACATGTACACGAGAACAGTTTCTAAAATGATATTAAATAAAGAAAAATAAATAATTTTGATAACTAATGTAATTTGAACGCGTGATCCACCTGTCTCCCATTTACATTGCATTTGCGCGACAACAAAAATTATGTAAACGACGATTCCGTGTTATTTTCCCCCTCGAACAAATTCTGTGTCCGTTGCGATCGTAATATGCACTATTTAATGCCGTTGTACAGAGAAAACGAAGAGACAAATTATCGCTGTACATCTACAAAAAGGGGGATAACGTTGGCAATACTTTGGTATCCTACTCCTAGGTACAATTCATGTATCATATGCATAGGTACGTACAATATTATCTCTTGATATTTGGTTCCTCGTGTAATGTATATAGGTACGTGTACATGTATATGTATATATGAATATATATATATTATATTGTGCATGTTGATCCATACAACTTAGGGGTTTGTTTTTGGTTTTGTTCTTAATAAGGGTACATATATGTATAGTATAGTTCAGGATACTATTCAAGATTAAATTCAGGTGGCGGAGTGCGCTACCGACTTTCGTTAAATATACTATATATTTCACTCCCTCGTATTACGGGACAAGCATCATTCTACCAAAAAATCTTACTTTACTTTGTAACGGTGGTTTTAATATATGTTTATATTGGATAATCTAGGGGTGTAATCAGGATTACAATTATTCTCAAAAAAGTTACTCCGTTCTACGTACCTCGCGTTGGTACACGCTAATTATTTCTTACGTTAAGTCGAACTATATTAGTCGTTTCTCTTAAAAGTTCCATATTTTTCGGTGATATTTCCGTTCATGATATGATGTCGATATACGAGATGTTCGGTGAGACAGAATTGGATTTCTTATACCTTTGGTATATTATAAAATGCATTTTAAATTAAACTCTCAGCAACCAATAATAACAATTGATTTTTACCCTTTACTATACAATATCTATTTTTTATTTGCGTTGGAATAAAATTGTATTTATAAGAGATTTTTATTAATTCTTTGTAAACACGGGCCAACATTAACATTCGATTCTTTAATGCACATAAATTTATATTGTTATTGCAATATTTACTTATCATTTCTTTTTATGGATTATTTTGTAACGTTGGTACACAATTCGTGATTATGTTCAGTGCATTATACCGGATGTCTCAACTGAAGAAGACCACTCAAATATCTCCTTTATTTTCAATGGCACGACAAATATTTGTGGCATAGTTTAAATGGTATCGAAGGTGGAATATCATAGAAAAACAATTTTTGTTGTTAGGTTACTTTTGCCAGCTTTTTCGAGGTTATCATCACTTTTTTTATTAGGAAGACTTATATTTATTTTTATTCCATCTTGTGAACATGCTTAAGTCATTATCCTCGGGTAACCTTGAATACTAAAAATGTGATAAAACTGCAGGATAATATTAGGATTACTCTGTATATTACTTACTTATTCACTTATTCATTTAAGTACTCAAAGTGATGCAGATGGATATGATTTTGAGCACTTTATAACATAAACAGCAAGTTCAAATGTAATTCTAATAATATTCTACAATTTTAACACATTTTTTATATTTAAGAACCGAAGGTCATTACTTAAACACGTTCAAATGTATTTTTCAGCCACTACAAGATGGAATAAAAACAAATATAAGTTTTCCTGATAAAAAGGCCCCCTTTGCCCGAGACACCCAGTATAGTTCTTTTGCAATCTCATATATACAACAAACCACATTGATGCGAATTAAATAAAAAAGAAACAGCGTTTATTGCATCTAAGTAGTCGATATATTAAGTAATATGTCTTGACCAACCGACTGATTTTTATTCATACTGTACAATCATTACACTTGTTTGTTAATTATAACTTTACTTTTAAAAGTAAACAACAAGTACAGTTTGAAGCCATAATACTTAGGTTTACACATTGACTGCCAGGCTCGCGTTGAATGAACGATAAAGAGTTATATAACTTGTCTGCTTTATCTTTTGATAAAAATATTTTAATAAATATAGTCTGAAAAAGCATCATTTATTTAATATAAATTTTCAAAACCTTAATCACATCCTTTTTTATCAATGTATAACATTTGATTGTTTACAAGTGAAATTGTACAGGTAGAACATAATTACTATGAAGGACATAAATGCAATATTTATCTTATTATTTTCTAGTTTGTTTATACTTTACATTGTATCATTAGATGAACCTCGTCGAATTTATTTTATTTTCTAAGTACCCCATTTTCATATTAGCTCATTTAGGTTATGTTTATTATATACATAATTCAATTCTTTATGTAAATTAAGTACAAACATTCAATTTTTTGTACAAATTATAGATCGTCCATATGCTTGTTCAGACTACATTTATTATAATATTTGTCTTTGCTATAACAAGCAACATATACGTTCTTTATTATTTTTTTAACAAATATTCAATCCTTTAATGCATATGAATTTTAATTCTTCTTTTAAACAACCCACAACAAAAATTATTTTCAATTTAAATTGTTACTCTAAACATACGTGTCTCCATTTTATTTGTTTTTTCTTTTTTGTAATTTTATTAATGATAAAGCTTCTTTTATCATTTTTTTCGTTAAACGACATTATTGCTTATAAAAACTAAAGAAATTACATTCTTTCGTTCCTACTATTACCATATTGATTCGCACTGAGCAACAAATGAAATTATTTATTTAGAAATGTTCGCTTCTAAAGCTCACAGAATGAATTTCCTTTCTCTCGCTAAGTGTCACAAACACCTCGTATAGTTCCGTATTTAACCAAAGTACGCATCGTCTCCGAGCGATTAACACGAAACTTATACGATACTAGCATGCCTCGCTTATAGTATGATAGAGGATATGATGAGAGGAGTATTATCTATGATCGAGAACTATCACGCTCCGGAATACGGGCCTCCTTAGACGGGCACTTGACCGTAACCCATCTTCTTAATTCGTACGTTGTAGGCCGACGTCTACAGTATGATTTGTTCTCCGTTCTGTGTGTGCTTGTAAGTATCATTCGAAACGTATACAAAATACCGTTCGATAGACGAGAGAACTAACCACCTAACTTAGAGAACTAAAGTGCACGGGGGCTCAGAACCAGGCATCTACGTCTACGGGTGTGTCTACATAGAAAAGGCGAAGCCAAACTGGCCAAAGTACTGCAACGAGCTGGAAAAAATGCCACTGAACGATGTTCACGGTGCAAGAGATATCCGCCTTTAACGCTACAACTACCGACAATTTATTTCTACCAAAGAAATTAAAACGACAGTATACGTACGATGCAATGGAAATAAGCGTTTATTCATGCTTTTACAGGTTAATTTTTTCAAAATCTAGTTGAGCAAACTTTTTACAATTTTTATTAAAAATTACGGTAAATGTTTACTTCAGTGATGTTGTCCCTGTATATTTTTATGGAGTTTTTCACTAAAGGCTATACTTCAGTAGTGAAAAGAGATATACGAGGTGTGTAAGTTAAGTAATGAGACTGGCAACGAAGCGTGTTCGAAGACTTTCGTGACTGATTGTATATCTTTTTACGAAGATCAGATACAGCCCCAAAGTAAGCTACTAAAGTAAACATTTATCGAGATTACGAATCGGTAGTTTTAGTGTTAAATGCGTTTACAGGATATCGATGCTGTCAGTCGCGTTAGTTTGTGTGATATGAGACCTCGACCAACAGCGAAGTAAATATTTTCAAAAATTCGTATCGCTGTGTACGAATTCCGTTCAGAGGCATTTTCTTTGGCTCTCGAATAGATTTAGTCTCGCGCCTCGTGACCGAACGACGCCGTTAGCGAGGATTCGTAGCGATGGCCCGAGAAGCGAATCGTCCTAGGTCGACTACGTAGAAAAATGACACTCCGACCGCGTGGGGGCGCTGGCGTGGATTGGAGTGGGGGGGGGGCTGTCGAGTCTCGACTTTCGTTTGGAAAACACGGTGGAACGTAAGAAGGACAAAGGCACGCTCTCGAACGAGAAAAGGCGCCGTGTTCTCAACACTCTGGAGAAGTCTACTCGAAGGGACCTCGATGCCGGGGTTAATCGAATGTCGATGTCACGTGCTCCGAATATATCGGAATTAATTCTTGATTTGTTATTAGATTACCGTTAAGGTGGAATGTTGGACTTGGTACTTCCGCGGTGTCGAACATTTCACTGTCGGAAATAGGGGAGAGTTGCTTTCGACCTCATTCCTTCATTTTTTTAACCTCTTTTTAACGCTTTTCCAACGATATGTCTATATAATTACGTTTACTCTAATTCAAGGTAATATTTTAATCGTCTAAAGAGGGTTGCGCTTCTTAGTGGTCAAAATTTAGCAATGTGTATATAGCTAACTAACCGGTGCATTACTTTCTTAATAATGAATCGTTTGTTCTTTCTCCACGTTTTTAAATGAAATAATTTAGACCTGAGGTTGGTTAAAGAATAAGCAAAATTGTTAATTATATTTTTAAACGACAGACTATGTATATATGTATAGTATGTTTTTAGGTTAGTCCATTACTTATTTATGGAACAAATTAAAAGATTCTACATATAAAAAAATTTTCATCGTACTTTACATGTATATTTTTTTTGAGTAATTAAAATATCATTTTTACGTAGAAAACGATTAGTTGAGAATTTTGTTGAAAATAATAAATCATTATCTCCTTAAAAAGTTTATTATGTTTCGATTCGTTTAAAAATTTTAATCCAGAATTAAGGTCGAGTAACGATAACAAAATTAAGCTTCGATAAATGCAATTATTTTTTAAATATCGAATAATTTAAATGTTACTTATCGAAGAAAAACTAAATAAATGTTTGATATGTATTATTTAATTTAGTTTATATCTTCATTTTTATTTAATAAACTTTGATCGATTAAAATTAGAATATCACTGGTCCAGTATAGGAAATCAATTGTATTGATTGAACCTATTAAATGTTTTAAATTTATAATTTTCTCTACCATTGTGCGATGTTTTTGTTTTTAGATTACATTATTTGAATTTATTTCCCTTCTTATCGTTCCTTAAAATTATTTAAAGTGGTCCAAGTTCGGCAACTCTCTCCTATTTCTCAAACAATTCTCGATATTTCCTCGGATGATTAGAAATAACAATAGATAATAATTTCACTGTTCACACGCTAAAATGGCTTATTCTACAGAGAGAAGGATAACTTTGTTGACGCAAGATGACTAGATAGAATTAATTTATAATTAATCGATGCAGATTAATCGTTTCTAAGCTAATTCGTTCGATAAATTAGGCCCACGTCAAGGGGTATTTCGACTTTTTCAACAGAAGAGTTCGCGATTGGAGAAAACTAATGCTTACTTAAAATTAAAAAAAAGACTAGAAAAGTTAATTTCAGCTCAGACTTCATTCACCATATTTCTACGTCCTTAGAAATTAAAAAGATACTAATTAAAAGTATTTCGTTTCGATCGAAAAGATCTCTGTTCCTAGCTCGACTCTTCGTTTTCCACCTTTCAAGCTAAAAATTCAACGATTAAGAGCGCCGTTTCGTTTGGGTTACGCGAAATAAATTTGTATAGATGAACCAGGTGGTGACGGGAAAACTAACGCGGTGAGGGCATATGCGAAACATTCCCGAAGATCGTGATCGAGCCAAAGCCAAGTCGAGCGTGAAACATGTCCGAGGAATGCCGTCGAACAGGCGCCGATCGTTATTATCGGATTCCTTAGAAGCTCTCGTCGATTCCTCGGTCGAAATTGAACACTTCAAAATCCCCGTCCGGTGAGTCCGGGATATCCGGTGCAACTGGTATCTCGGGTCGAAGAGCCACGCAGTCCCGTGGCGAGCATTCGACACGACCCTCGGATCCGCAGCTGCACTCGATGCAGTTTCCGGTCGAGTGCGGCAGCACCTCCCCCTCCCGGTATTCTCTTCCTGCAATAAAAATTTACACTCCGTACAGAGACATATTGTTTGCCTTTTAAACACTTCCACAAAACTTCTACACTCCTTGTCAAAAAGATAGCCCAGGTGTGCTGTCTTTAATTACTCAATGACGCATGTAAAACTTTACATTTCTGACATATTATATCAAAACATTGTTTGACGTTGGTTGGCTATGATAGTAATGTGGAAATCCTACGCATTTTCGAGATAAAAATTCAGGAAGGTGGACGAATTTTTCGGCGAAATTGAAAAATGTCAAATCGTTCTAAAAAAATTATTTTTGCTTGTAGAGGTCAATTTTAATTATTTTTAGTGAATAGACATACTCCCGAATTCCTACGCATTTTCGAGAAAAAAATTGAGAATTATGGACGAATTTTTCGGCGAAATTAAAAACTTTCAAACCCTTCTAAAAAAATTATTTTTAATTACAGAGGTCAATTTCAATTATTTTTTGTGAATAGACATACTCCCGAAATACTACGCATTTTCGAAAAAAAAATTCAAGAATGTGGACGAATTTTTCGGTGAAATTGAAAAATTTCAAATAGTTCTAAAAAAATTATTTTTGCTTGTAGAGGTCAATTTTAATTATTTTTAGTGAATAGACATACGCCCGAAATACTACGCATTTTCGAAAAAAAAATTCAAGAATGTGGACGAATTTTTCGGTGAAATTGAAAAATTTCAAATAGTTCTAAAAAAATTATTTTTGGTTGCAGAGGCCAATTTCAATCATTTTTGGTGAATAGACATACTCCCGAATTCCTACGCATTTTCGAGAAAAAAATTCAGGAAAGTGGACGAATTTTTCGGCGAAATTGAAAAATGTCAAATCATTCTAAAAAAATTATTTTTGCTTGCAGAGCCCAATTTCAATCATTTTTAGCGAATAGACCATGTTCCTGAAATCCTACGCATTTTTGAAAAAAAAATTGAGAAAGATGGACGAATTTTTCGGCGAAATTAAAAACTTTCAAATCCTTCTAAAAAAATTATTTCTAATTACAGAGGTCAATTTCAATTATTTTTTGTGAATAGACATACTCCCGAATTCCTACGCATTTTCGAGAAAAAAATTCAGGAAAGTGGACTAATTTTTCGGCGAAATTGAAAAATGTCAAATCGTTCTAAAAAAATTATTTTTGCTTGTAGAGGTCAATTTTAATTATTTTTAGTGAATAGACATACTCCCGAATTCCTACGCATTTTCGAAAAAAAAATTGAGAAAGATGGACGAATTTTTCGGCGAAATTAAAAACTTTCAAATCCTTCTAAAAAAATTATTTCTAATTACAGAGGTCAATTTCAATTATTTTTTGTGAATAGACATACTCCCGAAATACTACGCATTTTCGAAAAAAAAATTCAAGAATGTGGACGAATTTTTCGGCGAAATTGAAAAATTTCAATTCGTTCTAAAAAAAATATTTTTGCTTGCAGAGGTCAATTTCAATCATTTTTAGCGAATAGACCATGTTCCTGAAATCCTACGCATTTTTGAAAAAAAAATTGAGAAAGATGGACGAATTTTTCGGCGAAATTAAAAACTTTCAAATCCTTCTAAAAAAATTATTTCTAATTACAGAGGTCAATTTCAATTATTTTTTGTGAATAGACATACTCCCGAATTCCTACGCATTTTCGAGATAAAAATTCAGGAAGGTGAACGAATTTTTCGGCGAAATTGAAAAATGTCAAATCGTTCTAAAAAAATTATTTTTGCTTGCAGAGGTCAATTTCAATCATTTTTGGTGAATAGACATACTCCCGAAATACTACGCATTTTCGAAAAAAAAATTCAAGAATGTGGACGAATTTTTCGGTGAAATTGAAAAATTTCAAATAGTTCTAAAAAAATTATTTTTGGTTGCAGAGGCCAATTTCAATCATTTTTGGTGAATAGACATACTCCCGAATTCCTACGCATTTTCGAGAAAAAAATTCAGGAAAGTGGACGAATTTTTCGGCGAAATTGAAAAATGTCAAATCATTCTAAAAAAATTATTTTTGCTTGCAGAGCTCAATTTCAATCATTTTTAGCGAATAGACCATGTTCCTGAAATCCTACGCATTTTTGAAAAAAAAATTGAGAAAGATGGACGAATTTTTCGGCGAAATTAAAAACTTTCAAACCCTTCTAAAAAAATTATTTTTAATTACAGAGGTCAATTTCAATTATTTTTTGTGAATAGACATACTCCCGAAATACTACGCATTTTCGAGATAAAAATTCAGGAAGGTGAACGAATTTTTCGGCGAAATTAAAAACTTTCAAATCGTTCTAAAAAAATTATTTTTGCTTGCAGAGGTCAATTTCAATCATGTTTGATGAATAGACATACTCCCGAAATGCTACGCGTTTTCGAGATAAAAATTCAAGAATGTGGACGAATTTTTCGGCGAAATTGAAAAATGTCAAATCGTTCTAAAAAAATTATTTTTGCTTGTAGAGGTCAATTTTAATTATTTTTAGTGAATAGACATACGCCCGAAATACTACGCATTTTCGAAAAAAAAATTCAAGAATGTGGACGAATTTTTCGGTGAAATTGAAAAATTTCAAATAGTTCTAAAAAAATTATTTTTGGTTGCAGAGGTCAATTTCAATCATTTTTAGCGAATAGACCATGTTCCTGAAATCCTACGCATTTTTGAAAAAAAAATTGAGAAAGATGGACGAATTTTTCGGTGAAATTAAAAACTTTCAAATCCTTCTAAAAAAATTATTTTTGCTTGTAGAGGTCAATTTTAATTATTTTTAGTGAATAGACATACGCCCGAAATCCTACGCATTTTCGAGAAAAAAATTCAGGAATGTGGACGAATTTTTCGGCGAAATTGAGAAATTTCAAATCGTTCTAAAAAAATTATTTTTGGTTGCAGAGGTCAATTTCAATCATTTTTAGCGAATAGACCATGTTCCTGAAATCCTACGCATTTCTGAGAAAAAAATTTTCAACCGAAAATATAATTTGTGGCTGTAATTTGGCTTGTGCCTTTCTGGGGATTGAAAATTAATCATGCTTTCATATCTTTGGTCTCGTCTATCTCGCATTTATCCATGATTTGCTGTAATTAAAAAAAAAAAAGTATCGTGGTGTTATAATATAACACATTGGAGAAGTTTGGCCATTTGTTGTGCGTTTGTATATCTATACGAGAGCAACGGCAAAACAGTTGGTAAACGATAGCAATATAAAGTTGGAGACAACAAAGTCGTGGAACAAATTTCCTCCCGCTGTTTCCCGTTTTCTATGACAATTTCACCGCGGTGACCAATTACACAGTGACGTCCGTTTAACAGGAAATCGATGGCGCGACGGTTCGCGTACACGGGGAAGAATCGACTGGAAACAAACTACGGACTGATTTATTACCCATCACGAGACACGTAGCCGGCTGCGAAGTAGTCGAGTACGTCGCGTTAATTTCGACGTATCCCTGTTGCTCTACGGAAGGTTCCTCCGCTGGATCACCGGAAGCTTCCAAACCGTCGACAGGATCCGTGCTCTCCTCCAGCGACGGTGTGTAATTACTTTCTATCGTCGTCGATGGGAGGTAGGAGGGGCCTGCGGAGGGATCGGTGCTCGGATTGTAATTCTGCCACCAACAATATACTTCACCGGCGACGCAGAGACAATGAGAGTTCGGGTCGTAGGATGGTATCTGGAACACGAAGAGAAAATTCATATGTACGCTGAGCAATCTGCATACCGGGAAGATGCTCCGCGTTGCACGCAAACTTAAACTCTTTCTACAGTTCTACGATTTAACATATACGATATAGGGTATTCCCCATTTTTCCGTACACACTTTAGGGTCATTCCATGCGAAGTCGGACACCTTTCGGTGTACCACGTCGGATTTTGTTCTACTTTGAATATGTTGTAGTATTTAGTGATATATAAACGTATCTCGAAGGATTTTTAAAAATTTTAAAAATTGTTGGTTTCACATCTGTTTGAAATATAGAGATCACTTTTTTTCAATAAATAATAGCTGCTAAAGTAAGGAAGTTATAAAAATGAAATTTTAGGTACTTGTAGCAGACCCATGGGAGTATCAAATAAAAATTATTTCAATTAAAAAAAAAATTTTTTTAACTATTTATTTTGCAATTGTTTACGACAAATGTCATTTTTTTTATAGCGGGGAAATATTTAAAAATCTGAAAAAAAAATGGACATATAGTCCTGTTTGTCCCCTTCACGGACCAAGTTTTAAAAATACGGACACTTTAAAATTGGCCTTATAAAAATTAATTTAATGGAACGCTGCGTCGCGTCGTGGCACGCTGGCTCGAACGGCCAAGTCGCGCGGTGCCTGCAACCGCCAAGCGGCTATACCTGCTATTGTTATACATAGAGTGTTGGACTGCTGGAAGGTGTAACAGTTATTGGACACTCACTCTTTGTCAATGACACTTAGCATTATACACATTTAAGTTGTCAATATTCAATGGGATAGGATGTTCAATGTTCTAGTGGGATAGGATATGATGGGATGTGATAGGATTAGGTTCTGGTTAAGAAATAATGGTTGGATTGTACCAATGATCATCTACAGGTTTAAATTGTTTGTTATAAAATGACTTACTTCATAATAGCTACAACTTTTGATTTTTCACTGTCTGAATAAATTCGGGCAGTTAAATGTGTTACTTCTTTGGTTGGAGTAAATGAATGAAAATTACGTGTTCCACAGATTGTTGTAGCCAGTTCACGTCTTTCCAGCAAGAATTCCGAATTGCGACGCAGCGTTCCATTCAATTAATTTTTATAAGGCCAATTTTAAAGTGTCCGTATTTTTAAAACTTGGTCCGTGAAGGGGACAAACAGGACTATATGTCCATTTTTTTTTCAGATTTTTAAATATTTCCCCGCTATAAAAAAAATGACATTTGTTGTAAACAATTGCAAAATAAATAGTTAAAAAAATTTTTTTTTTAATTGAAATAATTTTTATTTGATACTCCCATGGGTCTGCTACAAGTACCTAAAATTTCATTTTTATAACTTCCTTACTTTAGCAGCTATTATTTATTGAAAAAAAGTGTGCTCTATATTTCAAACAGATGTAAAACCAACAATTTTAAAAATTTTTTAAAATCCTTCGAGATACGTTTATATAGCACTAAAGACTACAACATATTCAAACTAGAACAAAATCCGACATGGTACTCCGAAAGGTGTCCGACTTCGCATGGAATTACCCTTTAGCAGTGTGTTCTACTGTTGGAGCCCAAGGAAGAACACGAGTTAGTGGCGCTAGACTTGTTTAACACTAGAAAGACTGAAATTTAGTATATAAATACACTGCATTGTGAAAGAATAACTAATGTGTAAAGAAATTTGTGTATGTTGGGAATGTTGGCAAACATGCATGTGTTGGAGGGATTTCATTTTTCCTTCCTTGGCAGGCGTGCGCGTAGTCTTTTGTTTTTCTATATAGCCGAACGCAGTTGAGAGTATCCTGTACGAAAATGATCCATGTTATATGTAAATAAACGTAACCTTAAAACGTATGTGTCGTTGGTTGTTTAAACTCTGTAACCTCTGCTACAGTGTAAAATTAATTTTTAATATTTTTTATATTATTCACAGTTATACAGGGTGTTCGGCCACCTCTAGCAAAAATTTTAATGAGCGATAGTAGAGGCCAAAATAAGACAAAAATCAAGAATACCAATTTGTTGATGGAAGCTTCGTTAAAAAGTTATTAACGTTTAAAGTGCCGCCCTTACTGAATTTTTTTCTCGAAAATGCGCAAGATCTCGGGGGTATGTCTATTCACCAAAAATGACTGTAATTGAACCCTACAACCAAAAATAATTTTTCCACAACGATTTGCAATTTTTTAATTTTCTCGAATAATTTCACACCTTCTCTATTTTTTTTCTCGAAAGTTTGCAGGATTTCGTGGGTATGTCTAATGACAAAAACTGATTGTAATTGACCCCCGCAATCGAAAATAATTTTTCCACAACGATTTGCAATTTTTTTTCTCCGTTGAAAAATTTAAGCACCTAATTGGATTTTCAGTAAGGAATTTTTTTCTCGAAAGTGCGTACGATTTCGGAGGTATGTGTAATGATAAAAAATGATTGTAATTGATCCCCGCAACCGAAAATAATTTTTTTAGAACGATTTGAAAAATTTTTTTTCGCCGAAAAATTTCAGCACCTACTCGATTTTTTTTCTCGAAAGTAGATAGGATTTCGGAGGTATGTGTACTCACCAAAAATGATTGTAGTTGACCCCCGCAACCGAAAATAATTTTTCCAGAACGATTTGAAATTTTTGAATTTAATTGTTAATAACTTTTTAACGAAGCTTCTATCAACAAATTAGTATTCTTGATTTTCGTCTTATTTTGGCCTCTACTATCGCTCATTAAAATTTTTGCTAGAGGTGGCCGAACACCCTGTATAACAAGTTATTAGTAAACGTATTACGTTCATTGTTAAAATAGAAATAAATGTGTTGAGATAATAATAGTGAGTTGTTTAGAACGAACCAAACACAACAGAAAATAATCTCCATAATTTACAGCATTCTTTGAAAATAATACCTTGGACCAAAAATTATTTCGCTTTATTTTTCACTGATTTTTGATGAAGTTGTGTTACACGAGTTAATGGCGTAGACTTGTTTAACACTAGAAAGACTGAAACTTAGTATATACCTACACTGCATTGTGAAAGAATAACTAATGTGTAAAGAAATTTGTTTGAAATTAATTTTTAATATTTTTTATATTATTTACAGTTATATAACAAGTTATTAGTAAACGTATTACGTTCATTGTTAAAATAGAAATAAATGTGTTGAGATAATAATAGTGAGTTGTTTAGAACGAACCAAACACAACAGAAAATAATCTCCATAATTTACAGCATTCTTTGAAAATAATACCTTGGACCAAAAATTATTTCGCTTTATTTTTCACTGATTTTTGATGAAGTTGTGTTTTAATGTTTTGACTGTCCAAACTGAACAAAGTGGTGCAGCATTGTTAGGGTTATATGTTATCACTAGACTGCGGATCTTTATGCTAATTCACATTTTTATTAATAGAATTAATGAAACCCCTAAATATAATAATTCGTATCTTACTTTAAGTATTTATATTTTTGCATATTAAATGCATTCTGTAGTTTTTTCAGGATTAAAATTTCCCATAAATGCATAAACATCCGCAGTCTAGTTATCACGTGCGTATGTTTTCAAGAATCTTGATATAGACAGGAGCAGAAAACACACGACTGCGAATGTATCGCTGTATCTTAGTTGCAGAATGTCACATTTTCAGTGTATAATCCAATTCGAAAGAAAGGGAGAGGGTTGAAAGCAGCAGACGACGAAAACCATATCGTTAATTACTGTGTATTCTCCGGCGTAACGAAGAAACGTGCACGTGGCACTCGAGAACCATTGGAAGTCGTCTCGCAAGCACTAATTAATAATATTGACATGGCGGTGCGACAGAAACGCTTAAAAGAAAAAGCAAAGGGAAGCTGGAGGGGAAATGAAGCACGAGCGATGTCTGCGCGCTGAAAATGAATAGGATGTCGAGAAACATCGCATAAAGGAAGTAGTCTCATTTAAATGCAAAAAAAAAAGAGAAAAATCGGGAGAAGCAGAGGGGAAGAGAAAGCCCTCGGTGTGATTAATTTCGGAAAATTGGAGATGCGTCGACTTCTGATCTAGTCTCGTGGGGTCTGGGTTAGGCGTTACCTGATAACGCGCCACCCCCGTTAATTGGACACCGACGCCATATCGAGAGATGTTGCTCTCGTTCGGGGATGTCTGATGAATGACGGACGGAATATTTCGCGCGTCTGAATTGTCACTCTTGCGCGTTTCTGACGGCGACGCTCGTTGGAATTTTCACGCGTCCCTACTTCCGGAACGTGGATATTTTTATTTCTCGCGCGACGCGAAAATACTCCCATTTCGAGCGGATTTCCATTAATCGAGGACATTTCTTATTCGTGTCACGACGTAAGTAAAATCGTAAATAACTGAATTACAGTAAAGCTTCATTTATTCGAACGAAATTTCTGTCAGTGCTCTATAAATTTTTATAATTATAAATACTCAATAGTATACATAAATTAGTATAAATAGTACTCAATATATATTTATAAATAAAATATAGAAATAAAATATATTTTTCCTTTGTTTTCGTCGTTTTTGACACACCTCAAATAGCAATGATTGTAATAATGACTTAGTTTCCATTTTTAAAGGAATGATTCTTAAAATGAACGTTGTTTTGGGGTTGGAGCGTTCATCTTTCGTACAGTGGAGGCGATAACAGATATTTTTTTTTTTTTATATGCTTCACTGGCTCTAAATTGAGAGGGATAGAAATGTTCAACTTACGAATCACGTCTGGGGTTCATTTTAAGAACCATCACTCTACAGTTATTAAATGGGAGAAAATAAAATTAATCCACAGTGCTTGCAAGACTTAAAATACCTAGTATTTGTAAAGTCTTCAAGGAAAGATCATTAATTTTGTTTATAATTAACAAAATTGTATACAGTATTAATTAATATTTCACATTAATACTTGGTGTTTGTTAAATAGTATAAAATATTTGTAGTTATTTTTAGTCTTTCAAATAAAGAGTTTCTTTTCTAAGCTTTACCAAATTACTG